GGTGCATCCATCCACCCTCCTGGCTCTGGCCTTGCAGAGGTGGCCGAGGGGACAGCCGTGGACATCTTCTCCTTCGGGATGTGTGCGCTGGAGGTACTGCCCCCTCCTAGCCCCTGGCCTCACCGCTCTGCCTTGTGCTGGCCCTCCTACTGACCTGGCCCGTGCCCCAGATGGCTGTGCTGGAGATCCAGGCAAACGGGGACGCCCGGGTTACAGAAGAAGCTATTGCTCGTGCCAGGCACTCGCTGGGTGACCCCAACATGCGGGTATGCAGCATGCCGGCCCCCCTGGACTGGCTGCGGGTGCAGGGATGAGAGGGCCTCCTTGGTTGGGTGGTAGAGGCCCGCAAGCCCCAAGGGGTCAGCGCCCCTCAAGGACAAGGAGGCCAGAGCTATGCTGCCCTGTAGGCACTGTTAGCTTGCTCGTCCGTGGACAGAGACCGAGGCTCAGAGGCTACCAGGCGCCCTAGTTCCAAGACCTCTGAACTTCCAGGCGTCTTGGTGGCAGGGTTCAGTGGGTGCAGGCTGCAAAGGAGATAGAGGGACCAGCTGCAGCTACACCTTGGCGGAGGCTTGGTGTCTCTGCTTAACCAGGCAGCCTTGGCCAGGGGCTGGCGCCAAGATGCCTGTGAGAGTGGGACAGGGACCCATCCCGGCTGTCTCCAGAGCCAGGCCTGTGCTGGGCAGAGCAGGAGGGCTGTGCCCTGTGAAGTGGGGTAATAGCCCTGACTCCCCAAACTTTAGCAAGTGGGAAGGAAGTAGGGCATTTGAATTCTGAGCCCAGTACCTAACTGTCCTCGAATTTGCTGGATTAGGTAGGTCCTGGCCTGGACCCCGGTGGGACGCTTTCCTCTGTATGCGTCTGATGTGAAGGCTGCCTCGGTGCCCCTGCAGAGGGAGCATGTGGGATTGGACCCTGGAGTCTGGGGCTTTGGGGGCCTCACCTCACACCTGGCCTGTCTTCCCACACCCCAGGAATTCATCCTTTCCTGCCTGGCCCGGGACCCTGCCTGCCGGCCATCAGCCCACAGCCTCCTCTTACACCGTGTGCTCTTCGAGGTGCACTCGCTGAAGCTCCTGGCAGCCCACTGCTGCATCCAGTACCAGCGTGAGGGCAGCGGTGGGGCGGGGGGCTGCAGGGCCACCCTTACCCAGCGCCCTGAGTGCCCTGTGGTCCATAGATCTCATGCCCGAGAATGTGGTGGAGGAGAAGGCCAAGGCCGTGGACCTGCATGCAGTCTTGGCGGAGATTCCCCGGCTCTGCCGGCCCCCACTGCAGTGGCGGTGAGCATCCCGCCCCCCAGAGCCTGTCACCTCATCTCTCTGCAGCCCTCTATCTGGCCACCCTCATTGCCCCTGCCCTGTGCCAGGTACTCGGAGGTCCCCTTCCTGGAGCTGGGCAAGTTCCTGGAGGATGTCAGGTGAGCACAGGTGTGAGCCTGGGGAACAGGCGGCCGGCAGGCGGGAGCCCACAGCCACGGGTGTATCCTCAGGACTGGGCTCTACCCGCTGATGAGCTTTGCAGCTGCTCGACCCCTGGGGCTGCCCCGGGCTCTGGCCCCACCCCCTGAGGAAGCCCAGATGGCCAAGACCCCCACGCCAGAACTGTTTGACTTGGAGACCAGAAGGGTGAGTCCCATCCAGCTGTCACTCGCTCTGACCCATGCCCCTCTGAATAACAGGGCCTTTCTCTCTCCTCCAGGCTGGCCCTGGGACACCCCAGGCCCCCAGCCTGCCCTGTTCCAAGCAGCCTTCCGCTGAGGCCCTTGCCCCTCACTGACCCCTTGGCCTGCAGGTCTCTAACCCTTAGTGCTGCTGTTACCCAAGGCCGCCAGTGCCTGCTGTTCCAAACCTCTCCGCCCACAAGCCTACCTCCTGGCTGGGCTCAGCCAGGCACCGTGGCCCTGCCCTCCCTTTGCGTGTTCAAGCCCACGGGGCTCCAGAGGCTCTGCCTGCGGACTTGGTGTGTCCCTCACCACCACCCTGATCTGGGCCACCGGCTTCCTGCCCGACTCTGCACCAACCCCGCCCCCGCCTCCCCTCCCCCATGGTATAGCCCGAGTCCATGCTGACGGTCACAGATGCTCGGCCTCCAGCTGCCCACGGCAATGGCAGGGGCTTCAGCTGCCTCCCGACCCCAGCTCCAAGGCCTGCTCCTGCTGGTGCCACGCCCGGCTCCGTTCCAGGTGTTCTACCTGTGAGCAGCCTGCCCCATGTCAGTGCCCGCCCCAGGTCTGCTCTCCTGGAAGTTTCCTTAGCACTGCGGCTGCCAGCATGCTGTGTTTTCTGGGCTGCCTGCAGACACGGTCCCATCAGGCGTCCGCTGTCCCAGCGGGCCCCTCTGAAGTAGCGCCTGCTCTCTGCTGCGGCCAAGCGCCACCTGTGTGGGTAACCTCGGCCTCCCCCGCAGGTGACCCAGATGCAGTGCAGCCTGGAGAGGAGTGAGGACAAGGCACGCTGGCATGTGAGCAGGGCTGGTGCTGGGATGGCGGGCGGGAGGGGGCAGGCCACCCCTGCCAACTGCACCCCTCTGCCCTGCAGCTCACTCTGCTTCTGGTGCTGGAAGACAGGATGCACCGGCAGCTCACCTATGACCTGCTCCCAAGTAGGCTGGGAGGCTGGGGGTCGTGGCCGGGTGTGGGCCACGGCGCTAGGCCTCATGCAGCTCTGCACGCTCCCACAGCTGACAGCGCCCAGGAGCTGGCCACAGAGCTCGTGCACTACGGCTTCCTCCACGAGGTGCGAGGGCAACCTGGGCACTGCAGAAGGGCAGGGGATGGCAGGCAGGGTGGGCTGCACCCCTCCCTCCCCCAGGCTGCCTCCCTGCCTACCCACTGCCCTGCACAGGACGACCGGCTGAAGCTGGCTGCCTTCTTGGAAAGCACCTTCCTCAAGCACCGTGGGGCCCAGGCCTGAACCACCCAGCCCAGGGCCTATGGAGCACTGTCCTCTGTCCATGTGCCTGGGAGCTGGTGGACAGTGGCCCTGCCACGGGGAACCTCACCTTCCACAGCAGTCTTTGGTGACCCCACCCCTGAGGAGGCCCTGGAGTGGGAATGGGGAAGGGTGAGGCCCTGCTTGCCCTCAGGGACACGATTGCCCTGCCCCACCCTGGCCACCCTCAGCCATCCTCCCCTCCTTGTCCACTGTCCCTCCCATGAGTGCCCCCACCAGGCTGCCTGGCAGGAGGCTGGCACTTGAGTCCTGAGCAAGCAGGGTGAGCAGGTACCCCAGGCAGGGTTGTGGCCGGGTGTGGGGGACATGCCATAGAGAGCGCTGCGGTTGAGGCCATGGTCGACAGAGCTGTGGGCCCACACAGGCCATCTGGAGCCCCTGACCTTCCACTCCATCTGAGCGCAGGCCCTGCCGCCCTCTGCAGACGCTGCTGGGCCCTGCAGCCCCTTGCCAGTGGGCTCTTTTCTCCTGCACCCCTGGCCTGGTGAGATCTGTAGTCAGGGGTCCTCCCTGCTCCCTCCCTGGGGCAGCTGGTGGGGGCGGCCAGCTAGCTCCCTCTCCCAATCCACACCTGACCGCCAGTGTCCTGGATCCTGCCCCCACCTGGCCTCTGGGCTCTCAGGCTGCCTCTGCCAGTCCCTAACAGTCACACAACCTCAAACACGTTAATTACATGGTAAAATCAGCGCATTTGAGTTTCTTCTTAAGAATTTCAGATGTCAGGGAACCAGCAGTTAGCGTAATGGCTATGTCGCTGGACTCCCACGTAGTCGACCGTGGTTCGCGTCCCGTACCCAGTGGCTTAAACTCACGCCGGGCGTGTGCGTGCGTGCCGAGGAGAATGGAGGAGAAGGGATTGCGGCGTGGCCATCCCCCCTGGGGGGTGATTTCTTGCTTTCTGTCTCTATGTCTCTCTCTGTCTGTCTGGCGA